TTTAAAGTATCACTATTTTCATAAATACTTTAGATAAATATGAGCCGTAGAATTCTGGTTTAAAATCTAAAGTACCCTAAAATCCTGAAGAAATAACTTCTAAATACAGTACTGTCTTTGACTCTGTGTTGCATTTGCCCATTGAACGAATAATTATTCTCTTTCAGAAATAGCTCTAAAATGCTCTGACTCTGCCTAAAATGTTTTTCCTGTTTACAAAATGTTCTCTGAAGGAAGCATGGCGACCAGAAAGTGTAATGTTGAGCCAGGCCCGGCCCAGGGGCAAAATGGTTTGCCTGCAGAGGGTGCTGGATCTGTGTCCCACCCACCTCCTCCAGCCACAGTCTGTCCTCCCAACACAGGCCATGACTTGCGCTAGAGCTGCTCTAGGTTCTCAGGAACTTGCTTGCTACTTTACTGTGTAAATAAAGCTTCCTGGTTCAATACTCCCTTCTCCCCTCAAAGAAATGTTCTCTGAAAACATAATATAACATACCATTTATCTAGAGATACTATTAAAGTTATATAATTCATCTACAATATTCAGAAACAAAACAGTTCAAAGCTGTAGTGACTCTTCCGTTGTCCAGGCTTAGGAGCTGGAATTTAAACCAATTAACATTCTCTGAGTCAGAGCATAATATTTTCTCAAGACCTTCTCATTTCTATAGCAAATAATGAACCAGATATTCCTTGTAAATATTCAAATAGCTTTACAAGGTACTTCTCGGAATCACTAATTTCCCCAAGGTAGGACAGTTTCTGCCACTTTCGTCTCTCATACTCATTCAAGAAAGCTTAAATTGACTTTTTCATGTCCAACTTTTGCCCTCCTTAAATAAAATTTTAAGACTGAAGAGTTCTTATAACTTAGTTAACTTTTATAAATAGATAACTTTTGAAGCTACCTATGTAAGGCTTAACTATATAAATCTACTTGTACAATTTCTGGCCGGGCACGGTGGCTCACACCTGTAATCCTAGCTCTCTGGGAGGCCGAGGCGGGCGGATTGTTTGAGCTCAGGAGTTCGAGACCAGCCTGAGCAAGAGCGAGACCCCGTCTCTACTAAAATTAGAAAGAAATTAATCGGACAACTAAAAATATATAGAAAAAATTAGCCGGGCATGGTGGCGCATGCCTGTAGTCCCAGCTACTCGGGAGGCTGCGGCAGTAGGATCACTTGAGCCCAGGAGTTTGAGGTTGCTGTGAGCTAGGCTGACGCCACGGCACTCACTCCAGCCAGGGCAACAGAGTGAGACTCTGTCTCAAAAAAAATAAATAAATAAAAAATAAATCTACTTGTACAATTTCTGATCTACCACTATACTCAAGAAAGCTACCTATTTTTTCCAAAATCAGGAAACACAACAAGTTCCACTATAGTCCCTTTCTAATAATTTTGCATTATTTCTCTTTCTGGACTCAAAATGACCATAAATTGCAGGTCTCTTCCTCTATCCACAATGTCTGTTAAAATTTTTTCTGGTTATTTTTTAATGATATTTTAAAAAAGAAATGCGACCCGGCCTAAAAAGGCAATAGTTAAATCACTGTGGTCTCTCTAACAACAGCAACAACAAAAAGTAATTTCTATCAATAAAAAATATAGAGGGGAGGGAGGAATGAAGAGAGGTTGATTAATGGATACAAATATATACTTAGAAGAAATAAGACCTGGTATTCCATAGCTCAGTAGGGTGACTATAGTTAACATTAATCGATTGTACATTTCAAAATAACTATAAGAGAATAATTTAGATATTCCTAGTGTAAGGAAAAGATATTTAAGGTGATGGATATCCCAATTATCCTGATTTGATTATATAAAGGTATCAAATTATCACATGTACCACAAAATATGTACATCTTTGTATATATTGTATCAATAAAAAATTTTTTAAAAGAATATAGAATGTTTCTATTGTTTTTAAACACATGACTAAAGCAGCTTTATAATCACCAAAAACTAGAAAATGCCCAAATGTCCATCAACTGGTGAATGGATAAACTAACTGTGGTATATCCATACAGTGGAACACTACTCAACAATAAAAAAAGAACAAACTACTGATAGACAGACACAACTACTAATGCACACAATAACATGGATGCATTATGCATTATGTACAAATGCATTATGCTAAGTGAAAAAAGCCAGACTTAAAAGGCTACATACTAGATGATTCCATTTAAATGGCATATTAGAAAAGGAAAACTGTGAGAAGAGAAAACAGATCAGTGGTTGCTAGGGATTGGGGTAGAAGAAGAAGTTAACTACAAAGGAGCAACATGAGTAAGTTTGGAAGGTTATGGAACTGTTTTAATTGTGGTAATAAATATACATTTGTCAAAACTCATAGACTGAACACTGATAAAAACGTTAATGTATGACTGAAATCTGGAGAAGAATGATTCCTTTAAAAGCCAGCTACCAAAAATGTCAGAAATTTTTCAGATGAATTGTTTATTTTTAGCACCAAATATGCCACACAGGGATACCAAAAGTTCAATGTATCACATTCAGCCACAACTTGTTTTATACAGCCTCATAACTATTAGAAAGAAAGTAAAATACTTTTCATTTTATGCAATGCTGATTGTACATAGTAGGTAGTCCGAAAATATATCTTAACTAATACACAATTCAAGAGTTTAGACTGATTTGGCCTTTCTAATTCTACTTCACTGGTATATACATATGTGGCTTTAACCACAAAATTATCCATTTCTCAAAATATTAACATATAATTGCATCAGGGAAGTGCTGTCCAGAAAATACACTAACCTGAATTTGTTCAGTTAACCAATAAAGGCAATAAATCACTTGATCTTGAATGAAAACACCATCAGGGTCACGGATGCCCTCTTAGCAAAAGCAGAAACCTGGAACAAAAGAAAAATACATAAAATTCAGCCCTAATCAAACTTCAGTTAGCATTATTATACTTTTTTTTTAAAAACCTTTAACTTTCGCTCTTTCCCTGCCGCCGCCGAGTCGTGTGGAGGCGGAGGCTTGTGTGCTTTCAAGATTCGGCTTCACCGGTAACCCACCGCCATGGCCGAGGAAGGCATTGCTGCTGGAGGTGTAATGGACGTTAATACTGCTTTACAAGAGGTGCTGAAGACCGCCCTCATCCACGATGGCCTTGCACGTGGAATTCGCGAAGCTGCCAAAGCCTTAGACAAGCGCCAAGCCCATCTTTGTGTGCTCGCATCCAACTGTGATGAGCCCATGTATGTCAAGTTGGTGGAGGCCCTTTGTGCTGAACACCAAATCAACCTAATTAAGGTTGATGACAACAAGAAACTAGGGGAGTGGGTAGGCCTTTGTAAAACTGACAGAGAAGGGAAACCCTGGAAGGTGGTTGGTTGCAGTTGTGTAGTAGTTAAGGACTATGGCAAAGAATCTCAGGCCAAGGATGTCATCGAAGAGTGCTTCAAATGCAAGAAGTGAACAAATAAAAACTTTGGCTCATGTTCCTCAAAAAAAAAAAAAAAAAAAAAAAAAAAAACCTTTAACTTTCCCTTATGTAGCCAGTCATAACATGTAAATTCATTCATTTTGTACATTTACTTACTCCACAAGCAGTGCTTTCCAAATGCCAATAGGAATGGGTTTTCATTTTGCAAATTATACACAAACTCAGTAACACTCAGTGTCTTCATTTTCTTCATAGTTCATTCAGGTTAAAATAAAGTAGCACCCATAAAACTTGCTTTGTGAACACGAGATTCTTTAATTGTCTACGTTTTAACATACAGGGCTATCAGAAATGTCTCTCTCTTCACATTAACGCTCAAAACCTTTGAAGCTCAATTAGCTCTACAACATATTAATAGTTTCTTACTGTCCTCTACACAAACTTCCACCCAAGCCAATTTAATTTTCTTGCTTTCCATAGAACAATTTTGTGATTCTCAGCTCTCACCCTGCAAACACACCATTCCTTCTTTTTAGAAGAGGGACTTCTTCTCCTTTATCCTCTGTCAATCAATGCACATCTGCCAACTTTCTCAAAATCTAGCCCCTCTTTATCACCCAGTCTGAGAACTGATATAATCATTCTGTATTCCATTAATCTTTGCTAGACTATTTTGCTGCCTTATATTACACATATGCCATTTCACAGAGTCTTCCGATTAGGGACCCTTCTACTTCTTTTGTTCCTGCCTCCATCAACCAGTACTATGTTTGACACACAATAAGTAATCAATATGATTAACCAACAAGTGAAATGGTCTTAAGAGTCACACATCAAATGTACATTAAGTATGTATGTGCAAGTCACTGAGTACAAAAACCCAATAACATAAAGACACGATACATTCTATGGAAACATGTTGAGATTATTCTCAGATTGACATTATTATTTATTGTGAGAAGCAATTTTTCTCCAATGACATTAAAGCCTACTGAAACCAATTTTAGGCAATTAGAACTAATATAGAAACACCATCACCAACTTAAACTCCTCTACAAAAGTAATACAACTATTTTCGTTTTAAATTCCAAAGTCAAAAATCTGCTCTCAGGCAGAATAGCCTATGAGAACATTGAATAAATTAGTCTAAACCCAAAATAATAAGTACATTTGTATAGTGCTCTATTATTTATATTATCTCATCTGATAGACCTACTTGAAGAGAACAAACAACTGCCAGGTCTACTACTCCCAAAGCCCATAAACATGCAATTCCTAAATGGCCATTAAGTCTAAAATCAGCCAAGGTTCACTGTGATTCTTTCCTTTAACTTCGCTCAAAAGTCACTGCCAACTTCCCATAATAATCCAATAATCCAATAGATTTATGCTTCTGGCCATTAAGGAATAACTGGTACTAGAGTTATCCTTAGATAGTAAACAACTGCAAAACTAGACAAAATATACGATGCAACAGTTTCTATACACTGAATGACAATTAGTTTAGATCTGTGTTCCCTGAAAGAAGGAAACAAACTAGATAAGCCCTATGAGCACCTTGGCTTTCTGCCAAGATACATACTCTAGACACCACTGTAGACAGAGATTTAAAACACAATATAGCAGTGCCACTAACTTGAAGAGACAAAAATTGGAATTCAGAACAGTAGAGATGGCAGGAATTACTGGAATAATATATCAAAAAGGAGGGAGTTATGTAGAAAAAAGCTCTAGACATAGACGTTTGGGTCCACTTGAGTCTTCAATTTAATACTAATGTACACACACTTAGGGTGAAATTCCGTAAGGTCAGGCAAAAAAACAACTGCCAGGAGCTAAAAAATGAATTCAGGGTTGACACTGAGCTAGGAAACATTTTCGTTCTATCCAGCCACAATAGAGAGACCTGATTTACACTCTAGGCAATAAGTAGAGACCTCAGGAGGGCTAAATTAGTCCTAGAATAAAGACTACTTGATAATGATCCCAAGAGAGCTTAAAAACAAGCCAAGAAAGAACAATGTGATCCTCAATTTAATACCTGTAACTGCCAACCAGAATGGAAAACCTCAAGATTCATGGGCATAAAGTAAAGTATTCAGAAGGGTTGTGCCTCAGACGCCAGGCAAAATTAACCCTAGATTAGGTGGTTCCACTTAACAAAGTAAAAGCAATACCTGAAAGTTAAAAAGCACTTTCCAAGTAACTTAAATACATCCCAGGAAAAAGCTCAAGAATATTTATATTCTTTATTTATATACAAAAATATCCAGCACCTAACAAAGTAAAATTTACAATTTCTTTCTTTTATATGCCTGATAAGCATCAACTGATTACCCAGCAAGAAAACAAACCCTACAGCAAGAAAATAGAGCCAAAATCAGGAGAAACAGCAATCAATCAAAACCAACCGAGAAAAGACACAGTTGACAGAATTAGGAGACTAGGATATTAAGTTATTATACATGTATTCCATATGTTCGAAGAGCCCGAGCAAAGTTTAAGTATATTAAGACAGAAAAAATGGCCCAAACTGAACATCTAGAAATAAAAACTAGAATATAGTAGAGATGGTGGTCTTCATGATAGTTGGTGAATTAGGAAGTTTTCTACTCTGCCCCTTGAATTCAGGCTCCATTCCTGGCCCTGTGTGAACTCTTGAGTTTTTTATTGTTTCCTCAATTCCTTTTGCGTGGTTCTTCCACAGCCTCAAGTAGTTTCCTCACAGGCATGTCCTGATCAGTACTCCACTGAATTCTTCAAAGAGACCTCTGCAGATCTGCAAAGTTCTCCTTGCAGCTTTCCCCTCTCTGATACTCTACCCTATGAACTCCAGCTGCCTTGGCTCCCTAGTCCCCCAGCTCCATCTCTTCAATTCAGGGAAATCTCTAGGCTCCTCCTGGGTTCTACTGCCTTGCTCTAAGTCTAAAAACTCTCTTCAGGCAGTAGCTAGAGCAATTATAGATCTTACCTTATTTGTTTCCTATCTCTCAGGGATCAATGTCTTTTGTTGCTTGATGGCAGCCAGGGGTGGGGAATCTGTGGCCTCAAGGCCACATGTGGCCCTCCAGATCCCCAAGTACAGCCCCTCAACCAAATCCAAATTTTATGGAATAAATCCTTTAGAATAAATCCTTCAGAATAAAATCCTTTAGAATAAAGGATCTGTTCCATAAAATTTGGATTCAGTCAAATGGCCACACTCAAGGATCCAGAAGGCCACAGGTTCCCCAAACACCATTTATTTTAAAGGGGGAATATGATCTAAACTAACTTTGTGAGAGCACTGAATGCTGAAATTTTCTAAAAATTGGATGTGTTCAATAAATATCACTCATATAAGTTATCCTAAACTAAAAAAGCATAGAAAATGGATCCAATATTGAGAGAGGACTCACGCAAAAACAGAAAATATTACCATACAAGAAACTAAAAGCATATAAGAAATGCATAATATGTAGTAGAAAAAAAGATTAATCATGAAAGTGAAAAAAGCAAGTATCAATAGGGTACAGATAAAGAATATCCAATAATCAGCAAAATAAAAGCCAACATAAGAAAAAACTCGTTTTAGAAAAGATACTAACTTAAAGATTTCTCTGAGAAAAAAAAATGTACCTGGGAATTAATAACCAAGGATGCAGCATACGATTTCATATATACTCAAATATATGCAGGAAATTATTCATTTAAGAGGAAGTGATACACTTGCTTATCATTAGTGACACTGGAATTCAGTCAAATATTACAAAATCTGCTGTAGACTAATTGAAGGTGTACATACTAAAGGAAGAAAAGCAAAGTCGTAAGTGTTATAGAAGTCTTCAGGAGAACATAATACCTATAGAACTAAATAAACATCTTAAACTTTAAAAGGATGTTAGGAATCACAGGTTTTATTTTCAATCTGTGGTATTAAAGAGTTAGTCATTTTTACCCACACTATTAGGAAGAAATAAGACTGTGAGCTAAACTGAACACATCCAGGGTGAGAAAAGAAAAACAGCAAATGGCCCACTGATTCTCATCTTCAAAGAAATAATACATCCTCTTCTAAAAAAGGACTCCCCTACACACACAATCACATATGAAATGAGGAAAAAATTAAAGTTATGGGAAAATAATACATGTTTAATAGATGACAAAAAAAACTCTATCAGGGATGAAATTGGTCATTTTTCAGAAAAAGAGAAAAGTAATACTGTGGTGATATTTACCAATATGGAGTAAAGGCTATAAATATGTTTAAATTAAAAAGCTAAGTATGACTCAAGTACTAAGGAATTTCATAACACTGATGGTCCTAAGGCCATTACTAGGTACTCCAAGCTAGACTTCAAACAGGGAGGTGCTTCAACAAGAAAGGTATTATTATTATATATAGATGAGACTACCAGATAGAAGTGGGGTAGAGCAGGGGAGGGGACAGCCTAAAAGAAGTTGTTCACTATGAATAATTTTACTACTGGATATCTGTCAGCCTAAATATAGTAAGGGGCATATTGCTGCTGACTAAGATTAAAAAAGGTAGGACATTAAGGTAGGACATCTCAGTGTCTTTCAGCTATGGATCATTAAGAGAGGAAACTGGCAAAGGGGAACAGGTAAAGCAGGTGATATTAATGAAAAGAGTTAAGTATTTTGTATTAACAAAAACTAAAGAGACTAAAATGAATTTTAGAAATAAGTAAAAAAAACTAAAAAGTCAGTTTTGTCCACTATTTCGACAAAAATGGATTAACCATTGTAAGATTGTCAAACTATGGGAAGCAAATGTTCCATATAATTACCCTGACAATTAACATTACTTTAAAGGAAAACAAGAAGTTGTTGGAATTAACTTACTCACTACTTCCCCTCCTTTCCTCAGGTGTGTCTATGCTGTCAATATAAACTAGTACCAAATCAACTTTAATAATTTTTTTTAGTTTCTTACCAATTAATAAGGCCTATTTAATTATTTATTCATTTTGGTCTAGGTAAATCTGTCCTAAATTTTTAAGTTCTGTTTGATATTATAAAACCTATTCCGTTTTTCTTCCTCCTCCTCAAA